ACTCTGATGGGTACCTAACTCACGTTAGGGAAAGTAAAGGCGGCTGGGCATAGTGCCGACCACACTATCTCTTCATATGCCGAGGTAACAGAAACGCAACATATAAGTTATATTTATTACTTTTAATAGTTTTAGGCCTGTGCAGATTTCAAGAATAAATAATTTGAAGTCGTAATGGGCCTTTTGCCTATTTTCTTTCACCCTTCTCCAACCCAACCACAATCACATTTCCATAACTGAATTGAGACCCCCCCCCCCGTACCAATATCTGCCGTCTGTGTGTGTGTGTGTGTGTTTTTGTGTGAGAGAAATATATCAAGAGAAAGAATATGGTCCCAAGATGAATTGGTTAAACTGAAAAAATAATTCAAACGATTAACGAAGAGAACTAGGCCTGTCTACCTTTAATATGGCGAACTAATGGGTCAATGATCTCCCACCCAGCCAGAAAACTAGTTCACATTCCTACAACAGAGGGTTTTTTTTCTTTCTTGTGTACGAAGTATAGAGCAATTAATGTAAAAATTTGAAAGGGAGATTTTTACAAATCTCGAAGTTTTTAACCTCTTTGGGTCAGAAAAACATAGTTTTGCAATTTTGTTTGTATGTTTCTGTGTCTGTGTGAATGTATGTCTGTGAGTACTGTTACAGGTTGATTGATGACATTTCATATATAAGTACTATATCAAATGTGTATTTCTGTGTCAACTTTTCAGCGATTTCCGGAAGTGGAACTCATTCTACGTTTGGTTTTTCAAAAGCCTATAACTTGAGTACTGTTTCAGACATTTAAATGACATTTCACATATATCTAATTTTCTGCATTTAGTCAAATTTTGAGTAATTTTCGTTTACCGAAAGTAGTACTTTTCGCTATTTTTAATTTCTCAAAAACGTATATGAATTTATAAAGTACAATTATTCCGCATTTTTAAACACACATTGTTTGCTGTTCATTTGGTACGCAATTTATTTTTCTACGAGATTCTATTCTATTTTTAAAAGTTTAGGTATTTAAAAATTGATTGAAAATCATGTGAATTTCCCGAGTTGCCATCCCCGTACTGTTATATAATAATATTCGAGAAAGTTTAGGGGAGATCACTCCCGCTGATTTTTATCTGTATTTAAATCGAAATGTTGAATGTAATGTTAATTCAGTGACAAACCTAAACCATTTTTTTATATTTGCTAGTGGAGGAGTGGCAGCAAGCAAGTCAGATTCATTCTACAAAATGTGTATGATGAGTGTGATCAAACCGATGACTCCAACAGTACCACTGACTTAAACAACGTTGGCGATTACACTTGGTAAATGGGCCACACAATCAATAAAAAATGAACACGCATTTTAACTTTCTCGTATATATATATATACGAATTGTAGAGAAAGTCATGTAATCGTGCAAGTATATGCCTTATATATACATGTATGCATGTGTATATATGTGTGTGTGTGTATGAGCTTGTATAGATAAACAATTTTATTAAATTTAACATTATATATATACATTATATAATATATTGACAGCATTACTGAGACGGAGGCCGACTTGGAAGCGTTCGAGATAAGTGCACAAAGTGTAAGTAGGTGTATGTACACGAGTGACATGTTCACCAGTTTTTTAACGTTAGTGTCAGTTCAGTCCAATATAAACTTCTGATAATGTGGACTTGTATCGACAATAACTGGATAATTTATGTTTATTCTTCTATGTATTTATCTTTTATTACAAAATTTCTATAAACTTGTAAAATATTCGAAATATAATATATCGATAAAATCTGCTTGCTATTATATGATCTTTGTGTATCTTTATAATATTTACACGTTGTTTCGGTATAATATTAGAGAATATTTGAGATGTGAATGCAAGGAAACATCGTCAATTTCAATTTGTATGCTACATTTTTGTTGATACAGCAAGACCCCGCAGATATCAGTGGATTTGCAAGCCTACTTAAATACACATTCAAAGATGTGTTCAGCGCCCAATCAGAGTGAGCCTTTCGATTTGTCTTGTTTGGAACGCGTTTCAAAGTATAGACTATCCTCCTTTGTTTAGGTGGTTAAAATGAAAGTTTTACAGTAATGAGTTCGTGTTGCGAAGCAAAAATGTTTTGTCCTTTTTCATAATCAGGTCACTAAAGAAAGATCTAGGACATCAAGAAAAACCCTTCCTGTTAAGCTGTAAATTCGCACAGAGGCAATGCAAATTAGAGTAAGGGTAAATTATGTATGGTTGTCAGCTCGATCAGAGCTAGAAAATATATTTTGTAACACACACACACACACACACACACACATATATATATATATATATATATATATATATATATATATATATATATATATATATATATATATATATATATATATATATATATATATAAATATATAAACGTGTGTGTGTACGTATGTACTTTTAAAAACAATCAGACAAAATCTTTAACCCGACATAAAATGTCAAAAATGACATTACGTAATAAACAAATTATGTCATAAAACTAACAGCCAATGTAGAAGAGTTCTTTTCATTACTACTGTAATAACAGCTAAAAAATTATTTTAGTGTTATCAAAAAGTTACACGTGTTTTTTTTATTGAGCACACGAATTACTTCTACACTATACAGTTTTAAAAATTATACATCGTGTACTAGCAACACTGGAAATATATAATTCTTACTTGGATATCGGTAAAGTTTTTTTTAATGTCTTTTGATTTTTTCCAGCCAGTACGTTTCAGTGCTGTCACCCAACTACGGTAACTGTTACACCATTCACAACCCAAAGTTTGTCTCAACAACCAGCGGGCCCCCTGGAGGTAAGATTAAAATAAGTTTTAATGGAAAAAAAAAACAACTCTCCAATTCAGTGTAATTCTGAGAACAGGTACCTTATATCCAAGTTATTTGTCATGGTGCTAGAAATGTTCTATAAACTACATTTCCACAACTTGTAATACATATCACCCATGTATTTCTGTATGTTCTGCAGGGTCTAGAAAATTACACTGAGAGCGCTAATTCCCACTCCCACCTTCAATTGGTCACTACCCCTTTACCCATACAACTCCCAATATTAATTTCCCCTATCAATAACACCCATGAAGTTAATCGTATTGAACTTTGTCTAGGCCTTTTATACAGTTCTAAACAGAGAAACCGACAATGTGCAGAATAGCCCTCCTAGAAATGGACGACTTATATAAATCCCTATTCGTACCACTTTTCCCATCATTATTTCTTATCCTAAAAAACTAACCCTAAAACAAATCTAAATCTAATTATGTTGCCAAACAGTAACTTATCATTAACTTATCCATTTGCCTCTCTAAATGACCTGGATTGGGAAATACTTGGCGTATGTTCCTATTGCATCTTTCTGGGCGAGGATGATAAACTGGGGGTAATAGAAGTGGGGTAATAATTTATCTGGATGGTACTGATGGATAATGACCGGCAGACAAGTGGGGGGGGGGGGGTAAAGAAATGCTCACGTTCTCCAACTGGACGTACCTTGTCTTATGCTATATGTTGATGGTATTTTCTTCTGCAAAGCGTGATACAGACGATCGTACTTACACATAGCTGGTGTAAATTACGGTTACATGTACTTAGACGATGCAATTTGTTCTGTCCCACATGACATTCTTTCTGTTGACATTGAGAGAGACTTTTGACATGTTATGTTTAACTGTTGGGTAGGTCATTCTGTTGTCTTTTTATAACCTGCAGGCCTGGAACTGGTTTTGTTCCTGGAGAACTTTGAATACCTGCCGTATCTGACCAGTGGTCAAGGTGCTGTTGTGGTCATCCACGAACCTGGGACAGTCCCTAACATTGACGGGGAGGGGATCTTTGTTAGCGCAGGAACTCAGACACTTATCGGCTTGAAACAGGTTCTAAGCATTTTACTTTAGTCTTTACAAAATACAGAACTATTTTTCAACTTTGACCTTACTACAATATAAAGCTCACCTGTTTATGTGACATCGGCGTACGATGTAGCAGTGTGCTCTGCTCTATGAATAGCAGCCAATACTTTCTCTAACGGGAGTTTGGTGCCCATCATAGCGGGGGGTGGGGTAGACATGACAATATTTAGGAAAACGATACAGTACTTAACTTTGTGTAAGAAATCGATTTTGATTTAAAATTAAAATAAAATAATTAAAATTATATTATTATTGTTATTTTAAAAGAAGTAATTTTGTAGTTTTTACCACGCAACTCGTACCAAAGCTGGCAATAATCTTTAATACAAGAGCATTATCCTAGATAATGATCTATAAAAAAAGCAGTAAAAAAAAAATCAACCGCTGCAAGTTTCGTACTTGTGAAGTCAGTAACGAAATACATTCCTGTTTGACAGGTTGTCTTCAACCGTCTTGGTCCCCCATACAGTGTATGTCAACAGGATGACAGCTATAGGGACACGTACAACATCACTTACAGGAAAAATGTGAGTTACCGTTCTTAACATGCACAGAGAGTTATTGTATTACTTTATTTGAGTTTGGAGTAACGTTTAAATGGTTGAATCCAGATGTTTTTATCTGAATTCACGAGAATTTAGCGTAGTCTTGATTTACAATTAAATTTTTTGTACAATTTATTTTCAGAAGAGGGAAAATATTATGAACTGTCTAAGTAGTGTTTCTTTCAGGTATATACCCGGGGTTCACCCCCCCCCCCCCTTTCCTCAGACAAAAAAGCAAAAAGAAATAATTTATATAGAATGTCACATTATGTATTTCTTGTTTTTGTTACGTTTTTTGTATTATATATATATATATATATATATATATATATATATATATATATATATATATATATATATATATATATATATATATATATATATGATAGTTATCTCCCTTGAGTTAAGTCTTTGTTTACTATCTGAGAGTGCACCCAGTGTCGTATCAGCAAGTTGACTAAGAATGTAGCTGGACACGAGTGTATAGTCTGAGATGCCCTGTGTGAATTATTAAG